TGAATAAATGTGGATATCTGCTCCGCATGTCCTCCTCGGCCTCCCAAGTCGCTTCCCCGACTGGTTGGCCCCTCCACTGGACTTTTACTGCAGAAATCCTCTTGGACCTCAACTGGCGAACCTGTTTATCAACAATGGCAATTGGCTCCTCTTCATAACCCAAGCTATTATCTTGCTGAACTGTGCTGAAATCTAAACACATGTGATAGGTCGGCATGATACTTCCGGAGCATAGATACATGAAAAATCGAATGAACTCCCGATAGGCTGGGAGGCAATGCAAGCTTATAAGCAACTTCCCCAACTCGTTTCAACACCTCAAATGGGCCTATAAACCTTGGGCTCAACTTGCCCTTCTTCCCGAATCTCAAAATTCCCTATCGGCGAAACCTTCAAGAGAACTTTTTCACCTACCATAATTGATATATCACGCACTTTCTGATCCGCGTAACTCTTTTGTCTGGACTATGCTGTACGAAGTCGCTCCTGAATCAACTTTACCTTTTCCAAGGCATCCCTTACCAAATCAGTACCATATAATTTAGCCTCACCTGGCTCAAACCATCCGATAGGTGAACGACATCGCCGACCATATAAAGCCTCAAATGGAGCCATCTCGATGCTGGATTGGTAACTGTTATTATAAGCAAACTCGGCCAAAGGCAGGAAACGATCCCACTGACCTCCAAAGTCAATCACACATGCCCTGAGCATATCCTCCAAAATCTGAATTGTCCTCTCTGACTGTCCATCGGTCTGCGGATGAAAGGCTGTGTTGAGCTCTACACGGGTCCCCAACTCACTCTGTACTGCTCTCCAGAAATGTGAAGTAAACTGAGGACCTCTATTTGATATGATGGAAATTGGCACACCAGTGATTCGCGATCGCGGATAACCTTTTGCGATCGCGTAGAGGAAACTTTTAGCTACACTGACCCGACTTTGGAAGCTTATGTCTCGCAATCTATAAGGAATTTGGAGATGATTCAAAAATAAAAGTTGTAGCCCTTTGTATCTAGTCCTTAGAAAATCAAACCATTTGGCATTTGGAGTTGTACAAAAAGTTATGACCATTATACTAGAAGCTTTCTGGAAGAGTTGGAGAAGGCTGTTGGAAAACATTTGTTCTTCGCGATCGCGGGAGAATGGCCGCGATCACATAGAGTAAAAAAAATGCTGGAAAAATTTTGTGCTTTGCAATCGCGGGAGTTTGCCTGCGATCACATATGGTAAATGACTGGGCAGCATATTTAAGTTCTGACCATTTTTACGATTTGGAGCTCAAGAAAGGGAGATATTTTAGAGATTTTCAAGGGAAAACATTGGGGTAAGTGTTCCTTATCCTATATTGATTATATTTCATCATTCCATACTTAATTACATCATGAATCCGTGAATTAATGGAAGAAAAATCAGATTTTTATAAAATCTTCCAAAAATGTAAAATGAAGATTTGAAAGGCAATCCGATGTCGAAATTTGATAATTTTTGTATGGTTTGACTTGTCTCGGAATGGGTGTTAGGATTTTGTGAGTTTTTCCGAGATTCAAGACGTGGGTCTCACTATTGAATGTTGAGATGAATTTCGGATTTTTTTCGGAAGATTAGTAATTTCATATGGAATTAATTCCTACGATTCGTGTTGAGTATATTGAATTATTTATGACTAGATTTGAAGCTTTCAAACACCAATTCGCGAGGCAAAGGTTTATTGAAATTTTGAATTTGATTGCGAAGCGAGGTAAGTGTCGTGATTAACCTTGACTTGAGGGAATGGAACCCTTGAATGATTTGTTAAGTGAATTTCATGTGTAATGACGTATAGACGAGGTGACGAGTGCCTATACGTCGTCAAATTGATTGCTTGCATATATTTCCGAAAATCATAAATTATTTTAAATCATGAATTAATTATTATATTAATTATTTCTCTCATATTTCTTGTCTAATATTATGTCTTGGATTTATGCTATAATTGCTACATGCTTATTAAATATTAAATTATATATTTTCTCCCTGATCTCCATAATTAATTGCTACTTGTCATTACTTATTTCCTAAATAAATCATAATTATGGTATGCTTTGTTGCCTAATAATTTCTTATTAAATATGGTATTTATTAGAGTATTTTTATATTTAAGAGTTGTTTAATAATATTATTGGAACGGGTTACACGCCGCAACAGATTTATTTTAAGTTTATATTGTTGGAGCGGGTTGCACGCCGCAACGGATTTATTGAAAGTTTATATTGTTGGAGCGGGTTGCACGCCGCAACGGAATTAAATTGAAAGATTATATTGTTGGATCGGGTTGCATGCCGCAACGAATTTTATTCTAAATTTATATTATTGGAGCGGGTTGCACGCCGCAACGAAAATTAATTGAAGGTTTATGACTGCTCAATTGACTTCAAATATTGATATGATTTACCGGTCTTACTTCTATTCTTGTGATTATTATTATTATTGCATACAGGTTAATGTAAGCGACTTGTCTTAGTCTCGTCACTACTTCGTCGAGGTTAGGCTCGGCACTTACAGAGTACATAGGGTCGATTGTACTCATACCACACTCTGTACTTCTTGTGCAGATATCGGAGTTGGTCATAGCAGCGTACTGTAGATTTACTCGGATTCAGCTATGAGAGGAGACTTGGGGTATAGTTGCAGAGCGTGCGCAGCTCTGAAGTCCCCTTCTACTTTATCTTACCTGTGTGCTTTCTTTCAGACAACTTTATTTTTATTCAGACCCTTGTTGTATTATTCTAGAAGCTTGTTCACTTGTGACTCCAGTTCTGGGATGGTATTTAGACATCGTATTTATTTTGATTTGTTCACCTAAATTCAGATATTATTCTAGTTGTTAATTTTATTACTATTTAATTAAGATGAATTGTTAAAAATGATTAAAATTACTCTAACGTTGGCTTGCCTAGCAAGTGAAATGTTAGGCATCACCACGGTCCCGAAGATGAACATTTCGGGTCGTGACAGCAAAATTGTCGCTCTATTTTTGACGAGTAAATTCGTAAATTAACTTTTGACTCAAAGCCTTCTCACTTTTAGTATAACTAGTCTCTATGTTTGTGGATTGCACGAGAAATGCATATTGATAGTAATAAACTTTCAATTGCATATGCTATTGAATATGTACACCATACGAAATTAGTTACTTAAAATAAATAAAAAATGCAATATATAATACAAACCAAGTCATGAATAATGTTTGACAAACTGAAACTAAACATTCTGGAATCACAAAGTTATGTAATAAAGTTGGAAAATAACTTAAAGAATGCACTATTATTTACTATTTTATGTAAGTTATGATAATTTTTGTTAAACCTTAAGGTATATGAAGTCTAATATATATCTCCAGATAAAGATATATTGATAATGAAGAAAACAAAGCTTAAAATTCATTACGTCACTCCTGTCTTTCATCGAACTTTTTTCAGTTGGACGTTATTCTGTTTCAATTATTAATCATTTTTAGGTCTAAACCTTTTAATTTCTTACCCACACATTAGAAACGCATTTGTTTGTTTATACAGAAGAAATTATTTCATACAAAAGTTATCGCTAGGAAATTATTCAACTCAAATTCTTATTAATCCAATCTATTAGAAAGCACATGAGTCATCATGTGCCTATACACAAGTATACTTGCTCATATCAAAATTATTTAGTATGTTCAAATCAATCATCACAAAGAACATTGAGATGTAATTTAGTATATCCATTTTTGAAAGTAATTTTTTATTATGAGTAGTCATTAATGGAGATTTTTTTGAGTTCCAAATTATCGTATACATATTAAAAGATCGTCATACCTACCAAATCAAACGATATATTCTAATTTTTTTTTAAGAAATAATTCAATTTTGAAGGGTATAAAAGTCGGTCACATTTGAATTGAAAGACACGTCTTTGGGAAAAAAAGGAACTAATGTTCTAATCATAATAATTTACCCGTATTTTTTAAATCCTACATAAATTGATAGACTACTTTGGTATAAATAATAGTAGAAAATAGAATTTTATTTAAGGACTACCTCTGATTTTGAAGCCGAAACAAGATAGGCGGCTAATTATATGTTCTACACGTTTAAGCTTACTATAATTATTTTTTCTTTTATTTATTCTTTCATAAGTTTAAAAAAAAGAGTTAGAATGGCATTGAAATATTACGTTATGTTGTGGCTTAAAATATTGTACTTCTTGTTTTCCAATGATAGGTAACTTTAAGAAGTTCTACTATTAATTGGTAACAAACTCCTATATTTTATGCATTATAACTTAGTTCACGTTATTTTTCGGTTTTAAAATTTTCTAGTATTAGTTGGTTTTAAACTCCTATATTTTAGGCACTAAATTTTATAATTATATACTATATTCTATTGTTTTTTTGAAGAAATAATTCAATTTTGAAGGGTATAAAAATCGNTCTTGTTCAAACCTGTTGAGAAATGCTTTTCTTGAGCCGAGCGTCTATCAGAAACAGTTTTTCTACCTCCACAAGGTAGGGGTAAGGTTTGCATATACATTACCCTCCTCAGACCCCACCTCCACACTGTAGGAAATACACTGGATATATTATTAGTGTTAGTGTATGATATCTTATATACCTTTGTTTTATTCATAGTTATGTTAAGATGTTTGCAACTGTGGTAAAATTTTCAACGCATTATGCTATGATTAAGACATTTCTTTAACCATATTCAAGTTTGGAAGCTGAAGAACACCGAGTAGACTTGTCTTTCTCTTTGAAAATAAAAAAGGCAAAACCTTACTGACATTAGTCACGTCTTTGGGGTCCGCTAGAGGAATTCCTTTTTTTCTTCTAACAAAGATTTTTCCATAACTTTCTGACAACATCGAAAGTGACAAATGAGACTGGAGCAAAAGGAAGATCAACTTATCACTATTTTTGAAGTCTCAAGAGTCCCATTTTAACCTATGTTGAACGGACTCCAAAATGATGATGCAACTATTTTTGGAGGATCCGACACGCAAACGGAACATTTTCGGAAAGTCGAGCAACATAGATTTTAACTAACCACGCCTAGTTCTTTCTCATTTCCAAAGTACTAATGGAGAAAGCCTTCACCTCTTTTCTCTTGTTGTTTCACTTGGTTGTGGCAAGTTTAGCCATGACTCACACCAACATTACCACTGATCAAGCAGCTCTTCTTTCCTTAAAATCCCAAATTATTTCAGACTCCTTTCACTTGTTGGATAAAAGTTGGTCTCCAACTATTTCTGTCTGCCATTGGGTTGGAGTCACTTGTGGTTCTCACCACCAGAGAGTGAAGTCATTAAATATTTCCAACATGGCTCTTACAGGCAGAATTCCCCCTGATTTCGGAAATCTCACATTTCTTGTTTCTCTTGACTTGAGTAGCAACAATTTCTATGGAAATTTGCCTCAAGAAATGGCACGTTTGCATCGGTTAAGGTTTGTTAGACTTGGCTTTAACAACTTTAGCGGGGAGGTTCCTTCCTGGTTCGGGGTCTTACACCAACTTCAAGTTCTAACTCTAAGGAATAATAGTTTCAATGGTTTCATCCCCTCTTTATTTTCTAATATTTCCAAGCTTCAAACTTTGGATTTGAAATTCAATTCCTTAGAGGGACAAATCCCAAATGAGATTGGAAACCTTGAAAATCTAAGGTTTTTAAGTTTAGGTGGAAACAAGCTTAAAGGTTTTATCCCTCCATCTCTCTCGAATGCGTCAATGTTGGTGACTGTATATCTTTCTTACAATTTCTTACAAGGAAACATCCCAAAAGAGATTGGCAATCTTCAAAACCTAAACCATTTGTCAATAGAACATAATCAACTTACAGGTTCTATACCAATCTCAATTTTTAATATCTCTGGACTTGAATCCATCGCATTTACAAATAACACCTTATCAGGAAATCTTCCAACTGATATGTGTGATCGTCTTCCAATGCTCGAAAAGCTTTATCTAAGTATGAACAAGCTACGCAGTCATATGCCTCTAAGCTTACCAAAACTGTTCGAAACTTCAAATATTGTTTGTATCAGTGAACGAGTTTGATGGACCCATATATAATGAAATTGGACATTTAAGTAACCTGCAACATTTGTATCTTGGACGTAACCATTTTGAAGGTTTGGTGTTGAATGTTAGCTTGTAGTGTTTTCTTCTAACTATCCATGTACTTCTTGAAAAAATTTCATCACATCTGAATTATATTGCAGGGACAATTCCAATCTCCATATTCAATATCTCCTCGCTGTAGGTGTTGTCACTGGGACGCAACAATCTCTTTGGGTCCTTGCCATGGGAGGTTGGCAACTTGACCAAATTACAGATTCTTGATCTTAATCAAAATATGCTAACAGGTATGTATATAGTCAAAAGGAGTAGGGAAATTAAGGTACTGCAGCTAGCTTGCTATGGCTGAACTAAAAGGGCAGGCTGGTCTAAGCTTCCGCTATGCGCGGGGTCCGTGAAAGGCCCGAACCACAAGGGTTTATTGTACGCAGCCTTACCCTACATTTCTGCAAGAGGCTGTTTCAACGGCTCGAACCCGTGACCTCTTGGTCATATGGCAATAATTTTACCAGTTGCTATGGCTGAACTAACAAAGTAAAATCATTACTAGCAGTGACAGAAGCAGGATTTTTACCAAGGGGATATAAAATAAGAAAAATAAACACGCGAAAAAACTAAGGGAATTAAAAACAAATTACCTTATATACACAGTATAATTTTCAGCGAAGACTGAACCCCTTCGGCCCACATAGCTCCCCACCTATTACTAGTTGTTCATTAATTACTGATACATACAAACATTGGCAGGTGAAATACCGAAAGAGGTAAGCAACCTCATTGAGTTGGATGGAATTGATCTGGGTTTGAACAAGTTTACTGGTTCACTTCCAACAGAGATATTCAACATATCAGGGATAACAGTGATTGACCTTCTAAACAATAATCTGACAGGAACCCTCCCATTGAACATAGGTTCTATGTTACCCAACATTGAAGGTCTTTATCTAGGTCGCTTAAATCTTTTTGGGACTATACCAGATTCTATCTCCAATTGTTCCAAGCTCAACACTCTAGATGTTGCTGGAAATAGACTCACCGGTTTGATTCCAACCTCTCTTGGATATTTAACTCATCTAGAGTACCTACTCTTGGATGGAAACAATTTAGTGAGCGACTCTACGTTAAGCTTCTTGACTTCCTTATCAAATTGTAGAGATTTAGAATTTCTTTCTTTATCTTTGAACCCTCTAAATGGTGTACTTCCAGTCTCCTTAGGGAACCTTTCCAGTACTTCTCTTCTAAGGATTAACGCTGCTGATTGCAGAATTAAAGGGGAAATTCCAAAAGGAATTAGGAACTTAAGCAGCTTATTAGACCTCGATCTTTCTGAAAACGACATAATTGGATCAATTCCCGCAACAATTAGCAACTTGAGATTTCTTCAGAGCGTTAATTTGAGTCACAACAAACTTTCTGGATTTATTGGAGATGATATATGTAAATTGCAAAACTTGGGTTATTTATACTTAACTCAGAATCAACTTTCAGGATCTCTTCCTAATTGTTTGGGGAACTTAATTTCCCTTCGGGAGATATTTCTAGGTTCCAATAAATTGCGTTCAAACATACCAGCAAGCTTAGGGAACCTCAGAAATCTCTTGAAGCTAGACTTATCCTCAAGCAACTTGGATGGCCCTTTACCTCCGAAAATTGGAAACCTAAAGGCTGTGATATATATGGATCTATCAATGAATACCTTTTCAAATGGAATTCCTAGAGAAATTGGTGGCTTGCAAAATCTAATGCACTTATCTTTGAGAGACAACAAATTACAAGGATCAATCTGACTCGATCAGAAGCATGTCAGCTTTGGAATTTCTAGACCTTAGTCATAACAATGTTTCAGGATTAATTCCCAAGTCTTTGGAGAAGCTTCAAAATCTGAAGTATTTTAACGTTTCTTTCAACAAGTTGGTTGGTGAAATCCCCTCTGACGGTCCTTTCAAGAACCTCTCCAGTCAGTCTTTCATGTCCAATGAAGCATTATGTGGTTCTCCAAGATTCCGTGTTCCGCCATGCCATACTAGTACTTCAAAGCATAGATCCAAGAGGAAAAAAGTACTTCTACTGGCCGGAATTGCAATAGTTATATTAGTTCCTATGGCCTTTGTGCTTGTATGGATAAGGTATATGAGAGGTAAAAGAACTGATCCTCAGCAAACAGTTGATTCATTGTATGACGTCTCAACAAGAGAAAGAATTTCATACTATGAATTGCTCCAAGCAACTGATTCACTCAGCGAGAGCAATTTGATTGGTTCCGGGAGTTTCGGCTCTGTTTACAAAGGCATCCTCAGAGATGGGACTCATATTGCAGTTAAAGTGTTCAATCTGCAATTGCAAGCAGCATTTAGGAGTTTTGATACAGAATGCCAAGTTTTGCGCAACCTTCGTCATAGGAATCTCACCAAAGTCATCACTAGTTGTTCCAACCTTGAATTTAAGGCTTTGGTACTTGACTACATGTCTAATGGAAGCCTCGATAAATGGTTGTATTCGCACAACTACTTCTTAGACATCAAGCAAAGACTAAATATAATGATAGATGTGGCATGTGCCTTGGAATATCTCCACCATGGCTGCTCATTTCCCGTGATCCATTGTGATCTGAAGCCTAGTAATGTCTTGTTGGACGAGGACATGGTTGCCCACCTAAGTGACTTTGGCATTTCTAAACTGCTTTCTGAAGATGAAAGTGCTTCGTACACTAAAACTTTAGCAACATTGGGTTATATTGCACCAGGTAAGTGATCTCTTAATTAATTGCTTTTGAATATTTCTCTTTCTTTTCTCCCCCAGTAAATGCTGAATTTAAAATTGACTGATTGTAGAGTATGGACTGGAGGGACTAGTGTCAACAAAATGCGATGTTTATAGTTACGGAATCATGTTGATGGAAACATTTACAAGGACAAAGCCTAGTGATGAAATGTTTGATGGAGATCTTAGCTTGAAGCAATGGGTGAGCAACTCACCCCCACAGGCAGTAATGGAAGTTGTTGATGCCAACTTAATAACGCCACAGGATAATCAATTAATGAAAAAGTTAGATTGTGTGGTATCCATCATGAAAGTGGCAATAGATTGTTGTGTTGAATCTCCTAAAGGAAGGACTGACATGAAAGATGTTGTAGCGAGGTTAAAGACCATCAAGATTCAACTTCTTGCATGTTGAGCTTTGAATGAATGTATCATTTTCGGCTTGAGTGGGGGGTACACGCATGCAAGTACAGAGTGTAGGCAACGACTTTTCCTTTTGTTAAAATCTATTTGCTTAGTTCCTTTAATCAGTCTCCTGTAGTTAGGATCTTGATTAGCTTTGATTGTTATATTGAATCTCCTGAAGGAAGGACCGACATGAAAGATGTTGTAGCGAGATTAAAGAAGATCAAAATTCAACTTATTGCATGTTGAGGAAGTTCTTATAATTCTTCAGTTCCAAAACACTTGTGTGTTGCAAATATTTGCCAAAAAAATATATTCAGATTAAAATACGTTTTAATTTAGTATCTTTCATAACATAGAGAATCAAGGATATACTTCTTCCCACTCAACTTAAAGTCTAAGTTGAGCAACATTACTGGAATTACACAAAAATCTGACTGCTTGTCTAAGTTGAGCAACACTATCAGAATAGAGGCGGATGTAGCTTAGTGGCTACGGGTTCAACTGAACCCATAACTTTCGACGCGGAGTAAAAATTTATATGTAAAAATTCATTAAAATTGTAAAAATAGTAGATATGAACCCATAACTTTAAAAATATAATGGGTTCAATGTTAAAAATCTTAAAATTGAACCCATAAGATTTAAATTCTGGATCCGCTTCTGTATCGGAATTACGCGAAACTCCGACGGACATATCTGTTGGAAAGTTGTCCAAAGAGTACACGAATTATCGGCAGGAAAAGGATCATCAGAGAAAAGCACAACACAAACCTTTTTGACGGCAGACCATCAAGATTTCCGACAGATATTTCTGACAGCTAGGTGGTCAGACCCGACTATTCCCTACTACAGAAAACTAACATCTCTTGTCTAGTAATTCAGAATTTCAGTAAAGGAAAATTCACACAATGAGAGAATTCACCTCAGAAAATCCACCAAACCACCCCCGCATCTTAGAGTGTACCTTCTCATGAAAGTTCACAATAAAACAAGCACAATATCACCTATAGGGAGTAAGGATTTCATTCTACAAGATTTCAAGCAAGAAAAAAAAAAGTTCAGTTGTTCTTAAGGCTCAGTACAATTGATTTCAGTAAACAGATAGCTTTCAGCCATATTGATTCAGAATTACTGATATTCAATTCATTAACAAGGGGCGGGACTCCTTTAGGCAATTGAGCAAACACTTTACGGGCAACAAGTTGCCCCAACTATTTTCCTTTTAGCATGCTCAGATGTTATGATTAGGAAAAATATTCAATTCATAAAGATAGTAATATAAAGAAGAGTTGGGAATTTCAGACCTGATGACGTTGTGCGGTTTTAAGATGAGAGGACTGAGGAGATGGGACTTTTGGCAGTAACTTCAGTGTCTTCCTATGCATTTTTTATGCCTTCCAATCCCCTCAACCTGTGCAATTCAATTTCAAATGAGATGAAAATTAGTAGAATGGCTAGAAATACTAAAAGAAACTTAACACAAATTTAAAATCACAAAATCGACATGAATTTAAGGAAAACAGGGGGGCTTCCCATATTGCGCTACATTTATTGTCGCGGAATGATGTAAACCAACTTCAATTCTTTTATCTGCAATTTGAGTTTAAGATTATGTTCTTGTGGTGGTGGCACAGATCCAAGTGAGTCAGACTAAATGTTTCATTTTGCATTCTTGGCTTTCAAATGAAAAATGTCATTTATTTTAGATAGCCATGTAAACTCGTAAGAATTATTTGTCACTTCTTGGCTATCTCATTATTTTGCAGATTCTCCTTCAACTTTCCTAAATATGGTTGATCTTTTTTGTCTCCATCAAGCAAAGTTTAGTATCCGTGTCATCCGTTTCTTAAAAAATTTCATTCTTCCAAGGTTGCTTGACATCCTCCATTTCATAGCTCCTATCAACATCGCAAAAAAAAAGTAAACCCCTCATAATAAGGGCTCCGGAAGGGTAAGACATATAAGGACAACCTTCAAAATGACCTTTTTGACAACTGCAAATATTATACATATTCCATATGTATAGTTTGAGTTGGTGCACATAACTTATTTTCAAAATATATATTGACAATGTTGTCACGAGTGATTTTTTCCACAATTATCCAAAGGAAGCTCAAAAAAAGAGCAACCATCGTCCCACTATCCATCGTTCCAAGATGTCATAGCAAGCACGTAAACAAACGACCAAACTAGTCTAACAAAAGCAATAATATTGGGTATTTCAAAACAACTTGGTGAAGATGAGAGTGATATTGTGACGACCTAATTTTTCTTCCGTTGGGTATCGTGATGGCACCTAGTATTAGGAATTAGGTAAGCTTAACATTTACTGAATAACAACAATAATTAAATAATATCTAACAATTTTTTAAAATGGAAATCTGTATAAAATTTATAATTCCCAAAACCAGTAGTACAAGTCATAAGCTCTACAGAGTTTGCTATAATTTTCTAAATACAACTGTTTGAAATAAAGTAATAATATGAATACAAATCAGAATGTGACTCCGAAGCCTACGAACGCAACGTGAGTCTCCACAGCAACAGTCCGCACAACTAACTAATGATCAACTAACTTCGAAATACCTGGATCTGCACAAAAATGTGCAGAAGTGTAGTATGAGTACACCACGGCGGTACCCAGCAAGTATCAAGACTAACTTCAGTGGAGTAGTGACGAGCAACGGTCAAGACACATACCTGAATAAATAACCTGAACAAGTATATGTATAAAAACAACAGAGTATGATATCTACATAAAGACTACGCGAAGTGGCAATTAATACGTAATTGCAATAGGGAAGGAAAACAACAACTATCAGCGGAACACCATAGGAATGACATAGAAGAACGAACGGAAAACACTGCCTAAATCCGATGAACACAATTAAAAGAAGGGAAGGTAGTAGCTAGATGAAAACAACCAATATCACACTAGGTTTTAGTCAATAAACTCCACGAGGTACCGAACCTCATACTATTTACAACTCACGGGTCCCAATTCCTGAACCCTAACATTGGGCATCATGTGCCCTCATTACACTTCATAACCGCACTGACGACTCATGTGCCAAATAGAGCCATTCTCACATAGAAGGCAAGTAACAAGGGTGTGCATCTATACTCTGCAATATCAAGAAAACCTCTTAACCGATAAGAGTGCTCAACTACGTGTATGCTTGTGCAAGTGTCCTAAGATGGTTCATGCCAGCTAGTAAGTATAGGAAAGAAAATGGACAGCACGTAGAATATTTTCTCATAACTTTCCACAAGATAAAACTCATACAGGTAAGTGTACCAGTACACAAACATCAACACCAAGAATGCCTCCACGCCATCACAAGTCATCACAGATCAATCCCTGACACAACCCACCTTGTCTCGCCACATGTGCAACAGTAAAATAAATGCTCGCCTTGTCTTGCCACACGTGCATAATAATGTTCCCACCTTGTCTCGCCATATGCGCAACCCACACATATATATATCCCACCTTGTCACGCCGCATGTGCAAATATCAATAGTAATAATAGCACGGTAGAAACCCCGTGCAACCTAATAACACTCGCACGACAGAAACCTCGTGCATCACAATAACAACCGCACGGCAGAAATCTCGTGCATCACAATAACAACAACCGCACGGCAGAAACCTCGTGCATCACAATAACAACAACCGCACGGCAGAAACCTCGTGCATCACCACGACAAGTACAACAACAACAATGACAATAATATAGAGTAGAGTAAGTAAATCATCTCAAGAACCTTCGATCACAAGAAACAAAAGAACTAGTTCACAAGGAATAACCATGATAAGGAATACTAGGCGTAATAAGAACAACTCAACATGGAAGAAAATAATATATAACAATAGTCCCACAATGTACGGTTCAACAACCAAGAACTAACACGAGTCAAATAATTCCAATTAAGGGCAAGTCCACTAAGGCATAAGATTTCTATGCTTCTTTTAAGTTTGGACAATTGCGGGAGAGATACAACCAATTCAAATAAAGGTAGGCAGCGAGAAGATCACCATAACCTCAATTACGGGGGAAATTTACAAAAGGGATAACTACAACTTCAAATAAAGATAGGCAATTAGGAAAATGATAACATGACAATGGAAGAGATAACAGTTTCAATTAAGGCACATATGAAACAAGTAACAATAAGAGTGGATCATGACGCAATTGATTCTAATTAAGCAGATAATGGTAAAATTAGTAATTAAGGAACATAATCATAATAAGAACAACCGCATATTCAATGAATACAATGACCTACGAATCCCTAAAAGGCCAATTTTTCACAAATAAGTCCAGGCACGTACTCGTCACCTCGAGTACACGGACTACAATTAGCATAGAAGACTCAAATCCTAAAGGGTAGTTCCCCCACACGAAGTTAAAGATACTTACCTCAAAGAAGACAAACTGATACTCTAAAATGAACTTCTCAGGCGAAATGACCTCCGGACGGCTCAAATCTAACCAAAATAAATTTAAAGCAAAAATAAAACTCATAAGAAACTATTATGTATCATAAAGACTCAATCTTTATCAAAATCTAAAAATTGACCCAAAAGTCGACCATCGGGCCCGCACCTCAGAACCAGACAAATTTTATAAAACCCAAACACCCATCCAATATGAGTTCAACAGTACTAAAATTATCAAATTCTGATACCATTTCCTCCCTCAAATCATGATTTTTCATTTTGAAAACGTTTTTCAAAAACCATCATTTTCCTCAACTCAAAACACAAATTAAATGATAAAAATGAACATAAAATCATGGAATATATTAAATTCTAGGTGAAGAACACTTACTCAATCATTTTGCTTGGAAAACCCATAAAGAAGCTCCCAAAACCGAAGTCTAAAACTCAAAATATAAAGAAAATGGCCAAACCCTTGACTAAGATTCTGCCCAGTACTTCCGCATTTGCGAACAAGGAAGCGCATCTGCGCTCTCGCATTTGTGAGAAATCATTTGCATCTACGAACTCAGCTAGCCAAGCCTGGATCCGCATCTGCGGAATTAAAGCCGCACCAGCGGCCCCGCAGAAGCGCCAAAGGAAGCGTAGAAGCGAGCTTCTTCGCAGATGCGATCGCTGGACCGCAAAAGTGGCCTTCGCACCTGCGTGCCGGCCTCAGCAGAAGTGAGCGAGCCTCCAGGCCACTATGACCGCAGAAGCGACCAGGCTCATGCAGAAGTGGAGCCGGCACATGCGC